TTGGGACTTCCAGTCTGCATGAGAACTTCCGCTCCTGACAGTATGTGAACTTCTGGTCCAGAGTATCAGAACTTCCGGTCCTGATTGGGAACTTCCGGTCCCTAGTATATAACAAGTTCCGGTCCTGACTGAGGACTTCTGGTCCCTAGTGTATATGAACTTCCGGTCCTGACTATGGGGACTTCCTGTCCCTAGTGTGTAAGAACTTCCGGTCTTCACTGTGGAGACTTCTGGTCCCTAGTATATAACAACTTCTGGTCTTGACTATGGGGACTTCCAGTCCAAGTGTACAGGAACTTCTGGTCCTGATTGGAAGGGCACTTCCGGTCCCTAGTGTATAGGAACTTCCAATCCTGATTGGAAGGGCACTTCCAGTCCCTAGTGTAGAGGAACTTCCCGTATCTAGTGTATAAGAACTTCTGGTATTGACTATGGGGACTTCCGGTTTTGACTGTGGAGATTTCCGGTCCCTAGTATATAGGAACTTCTGGTCCTGACTGGGGACTTCCAGTCCCTAGTATATAGAAACTTCCGGTCCTGATGGGAAGGGCACTTCTGGTCCTGATTGGAAGGGCATTTCCGGTCCCTAGTGTGTAGGAACTTCTGGTCTTGACTGTGGAGACCTCCAGTCCCTAGTATATAACAACTTCTGGTCTTGACTATGGGGACTTCCGGTCCCTAGTATACAAGAACTTCTGGTCTTGACTATGGAGACTTCCAGTCCCTAGTACACAAGAACTTCCGGTCTTGACTAGGGGCACTTCCTGTCCCTGTTCATGGACACTTCCTGTCACGGCTGTGATAGCACTTCCGGTCAGGCACCCTTGTCCCGCCCCCTTCGCCTTGGCTCGCTTCCTGTTTCCGGACACTTCCCGACCAGAAGCTGCAGGGGGACGCCCCACCCCCTTCCTGGGTGTGTTCTCCCCCCAATTTCCGGTTCCGCCCCCTCCAGGCAGCACGCTGGCCCGCCTCGTGTCCCCTGTTGTGTCCGTGGTGGTCGTGGCCCTAGTGGGCACCGCCATCACCTACTTCTAATCTGGAGGTTGCAGACGCTGCTTCCGGGCTGCGGGCAGGGATGCAGGTGGGAACTGCCCCCTCCCAGGGTGCCCGGATGAGGGGGGGCATGGGGCGAAGCCTCCCATGATCCCCCGTGGGCGCTGTAGCCTGTGCCTCCCCTCGCCCCCAGGCCCCGCCCCGGTGTGAGGCTGGATTCGAACCCGGGGCCTCCAGCAGCAAGCGGAAGCGGAAGCGTAAGAAGGAGCCTGGGGGGGAGGGACGAATAAAATCAACGTAAAGTACACATGCGCACTGTCAGGCCTCTCTGCCCCGCCCATCTTTCCATAGCGCATGCGCAGGCTCTGCCTCTTTGGAACCACTTCCCGCACATGCGCGTTGCGTGCGCCCAGGCAACGTTTCCCTTCCCCTCTGGCGCCTACTCAGTGTGGAGACAGGCGCAGGGCGGGACAGGATGGTGATGGACAGCTAGAGTGTCCAGTCAGTCACTTGTGGGCGGGACTTCGGCTTGACAGGACATAAGACGGAGTAGGAGGAGGGGCCTGGAGGTAAATGACACCCTGTGTGGCCATCTAATTGCAAGGGGCGTGGCCTGAAGTCGACAGGACACTTGATAATACAAGGGGGCGTGGCCTGAAGGTGACAGACAGGACACATGATTATACAACAAGGGGGCGTGGTCTGAAGGTGACAGACAGGACAAATGTCCACACAACAGCCAGGGGGCAGGACCTGGAGGAGACAGACAGCCCCTGTGGCCTTTCAACAACCATTGGACGGGGCCTGGAGGTGACAAAGAGCCTCTATGGCCTTCCAACAGCCAGGAGGCGGGACCTGGAAGTGAAGGACAGCCCTTGAGCCCATACATTCACTAGTGGGCGGGACCTCTGGGTGATGGGCACCCACAGCGTTCATAGAGCTAGCCACGAAGAGGCGTGGCTTCACACATATCGACCCTCCAGCTATTGGCTTGGCAGGGGGCGGGACACAGGGATGATGGACAGCATGCCCTGCCTTTCAATATCACCCAAGGAAGAGGCGGGACTGGACCCCCAGCTTCCCTGGGCCGGGCCAAAGGATGGAGAGACAGGCGTGTCAACCAATCAGAGCAGGGGGCGTGGCTGGAGGAGTCCCCGGGGAAGCCAATGGGTACCTCCCTCCAGAGAAGACCCGGATGCCGTGCAGGTGCAATGCATCCTAGGCCTAGGGAGACACAGACCTCCGACCTCGACTTATCCTACTGCCCTAAGGAGCTATAGGCCCATCTGGGTCAATCCCTGGAGAGGTCATTGGGGTCCCCTGGGACAGGCACAGAAGGGGAAGAGGTCGCAGGCCTGGTCATCCACCCATCCATCCACGCAACCACTGCCTCCCCTTAGAGTGGTCCACCATCCGGGTACCCCACGTCTCCAATCCCGCTGGGCCAATCTGAATCCAAGTTCAGGTAGTTAGGGGCAGGACTGTCGTGTGAGGTCCAATCAGCAGCGAGTTGGATTTGTGGGGGGGCTAAAGGGCGTGTCTTACAGCTGGACCAATGACAAATGAATTAAGAAAGTGAGGGCGGGGCTTTCATGGAATAGGCCAATCAGGTGTGAATCTAGGTGGTGGGATGTCCTGGAGGAGGGCGAGACCAAGCCTGTATCCTAGCAACCCACCGGAAATGGTCTGAAATGGAAGGCGGGAATAATCCAATACCCTAGCAACCACCGGAAATGGCCTGAAATGGAAGGCGGGACTAGTCCAATACCCTAGCAACCACCAGAAATGACCTGAAATGGAAGGTGGGACCAGCCCTGTATTCTAGCAATGACCGGAAATGGTCTGAAATGGAAGGCGGGACCAGTCCTATACCCTAGCAATGACCAGAAGTGGCCTGAAATGGAAAGTGGGTCTAGTCCTATACCTTAGCAATGACCGGAAATGACCTGAAATGGAAGGTGGGAGTAGTCCTATACCCTAGCAATGACCGGAAATGACCTGAAATGGAAGGTGGGACTAGTCCTATACCCTAGCAACGACCAGAAGTGGCCTGAAATGGAAAGTGGGACCAGCCCTGTATCCTAGCATCAACCGGAAATGACCTGAAATGGAAGGCAGGACCAGTGCCCGGCTTCTGACCCCGGTGACCCCTGACCCTGCCGTGCGGTGCGGTGCTCACGAGGTTTTATTGTGTGAGAAGTTAGAGGACATAGGCCCGGATGTGAGAGGGCCCCGGATGGGAGGCTGGGGAAAGGCCCCAGATGGGAGGCCCAAGGTGGAGGTCCAGGATGAGAGGCTCAGGATGTGAGAGTCCCCGGATGTGGGAATCCCTGGGTCTGAGAATCCCCAGATGTGAGACTCTCTGAATGTGAAAATCCCCAGATGTAAGAGTTCCCCGCATGTGAGAGTCTCTGGATGTAAAAGTCCCTGGATGTGACAATCCCTGGATGTATGAATCTCTAGATGTGGGAATCCCCGGATGTGAGAATCCCCGGCTGTGGGAATCCCCAGATGTGAGAATCCCTGGATGCGAGAATCTCCAGATGTGGGAATCCCCGGATGTGAGTTTCTGGATGTGAGATTTCCCCAGATGTGGGAATTCCCTGGTCTGAGAATCCCTGGATGTGGGAATCCCTGGATATGAGAATCCCCGGATGTGGGAATCTCTGGATGTGAGAATTTCTGGATGTGAGAATCCCCGGATGTGAGAATCTCTGGATGTGAGAGTCTGTATGTAGGAATCCCCGGATCTGAGAGTCTCTGGATATGAGAATCCCCGGATGTAAAAGTCCCCGGATGTGAGAGTCTCTGGTTGTGAGACTCCCCGGGTGTAAAAGTCCCCGGATGTGGGATTCCCCGGATGTGTAAATACATCCCCAGGAATCCCCGGATGTTTCACCAGAAGTGAGAATCCCCAGATGTGAGAATCCCCGGATGTAGGAATCCCTGGATGTGAGAATCCCTGGATGTAGGAATCCCTGGATGTGAGAGTCTGTATGTGGGAATCCCCGGATGTGGGAATCTCTGTATTTGAGTATACCTGGATGTTTAATACCCGGATGTGAGTCCCCGGATGTGAGAAGGCGCAGGCCAGGATCTGCCATAGCCCCAGGGAAGTTGGGGGTTGGGGGTCGGGTCGGGGTCAGAGGTCGGGGATCAGGTGGTCGCAGGCACAGAGTGGTCTGGGCGCGCAGCAGGGCTACAGGCACGGGCTCCAGGTGTTGTGTGCAGGGGCGAGGGGCGGGGCCACGAGGGGGCGGCGCGTGCGCAGCATCCGGGCCACCGCGGCCTCCACGCGTCTGCGCGTCGCCATCGGGCCCTGCAGCGGGCAGGTCTCCCCCGGGTCCGCCCTCAGGTCAAAGAGCAGTGGCCGCAGGTGGCGGGTCATTCGCCGCCCCGAGCAGGCACAGGCAGGGAAACCGAGGCAGGCACCCGAGCATGGCGAGTCGAAGCGCGGAGTGGCGAAGTGCAGCTTCCACACCGTGCGGCCTGCGGGGGGGGGGGGGGGGGGGGGGGGAGGAGAAAGGAGTAACATCCAGGGCCTCACATCCAGGGATTCCCATCCGGGAATTCACATCCAGAACATCACATCCAGGGATTCACATCCGGGCATTCACATGCAAGACCTTACATCCGGGGATTCCCATCCAGGACTTCACATCTGGGTATTCACATCCGGGGATTCCCATCTCGGACCTCACATCCGGGAATTCACATCCGGGACCTCACATCCAGAACCTTACATCCGGGGCTTCACATCTGGGGATTCACATCTGGGGCTTCACATCCGGGGATTCACATCCGGGGCCCCACATCCGTGCATTCACATGTGGGACCTCACATCTGGGGACTCACATCCATGGCCTCACATCCGGGGATTCTTATCTGGGACCTCACATCCAGGGATTCCCATTTGGGACCTCACATCTGGGGCCTCACATCCGGGGATTCCCATCTCATGCCTTCCATCCAGGTCCTCACATCCCAGGATTCCCACATCCGGGGCCTCACATCCAGGGATTCTCATTCAGTACCTCACATCCGGGAATTCCCATCGGGGACTTCACATCCGGGACCTTACATCCGGGGATTCCCATCTCATGCCTTCCATCCAGGTCCTCACATCCCAGGATTCCCACATCCGGGGATTCCCACATCCAAGTCTCCCACCTCCAGGCCTTGCATCCGGGTCCCTGCACGCATGCATGCAGCTCCCTCCCCCGCCCCGGGGCCCAGCGGAGGTCAAGGCACTCACTTGGGTGGTTGAACCAGCGCACGGCGTGCAGCCGGGCCTCGCAGTAGTGCAGCAGGAAGTCATGGCCTGCGGCCTGCGCCATCCCCAGCAGCGCGGGCATCAGGTCCCGGCCTTCCACCTCCCTGCGGGACCTGGATGTGCAGGCCAGAGCCCCCAGAGACCCGGATGTGCAGGCCAGAGATCCCAGAGACTTGGATGTCAAGGCTTGAGCCTTTAGAGACCCGGATGTGCAGGCTTCTGAGCCCTCAGAGACCTGGATGTGCAGGCGTCTGAGGCCTTCAAGACCCGGATGTCCAGGCTCCTGAACACTCAGAGACCCAGATGTGCAGGCTTCTGAGCGCTCAGAGGCCCAGATGTGCAGGCCAGAAATCCCAGAGACCCGGATGTCCAGGTTTCTGAGCCCCCAGAGACACGGATGTGCAGGCCTGAGATCCCAGAGACCCAGATGTGCAGGCTTCTGAGCCCTCAGGGACCCAGATGTGCAGGCCTGAGCCCTCAGAGACCCGGATGTCCAGGCCTGAGACCTGGGCCTAGGTACTCAGAGACCTGGATGTGCAGCCCTGATGCCTTAGAGACCCGGATATGAAGGCCTGAGTCCTCAGAGACCCAGATGTCTAGGCTTCTGAGTGCTCAGAGGCCCAGATTTGCAGGCCTGAGCCCTTAGTTACCTGGATGTAAAGGCTCCTGAGCCCCCAGAGACCCGGATGTGCAGGTCTGAGCCCTCAGAGACCCGGATGTGCAGGCTTCTGAGCAACCAGAGACCCGGATGTGCAGGCCTCAGCCTCCCCCGCTCGGGATCCCCGAGGCCCCGGATGACCCCCCTTCTCCTCCACCCTGTGGGGACGCAGGCCAGCGAACTCCTACCTGTCCACCGGAACCCAGCCCCGGGCCAGGCGCACCACGGTGGGGAACAGGTCCATGAGGCTGGTGAGCTCAGGCACCAGGCGCCCTGCGGGCAGCGTCCCAGGCCAGCACACCAGCCCAGGGACCCGGACGCCGCCCTCCCAGCCGCCCATGCCTTTGCCACCTGCAAGGGGGGGCGAAGGGCAAAGGTCAAGGGGAGGGGTCGGGCCGCGTGGAGGCCCCGCCCACCCTGCCTCAGTTTTCCCCTAGCCTCGGTGCATGCTGTTGGAACCCCCGAGGCGGGCGCCCCAGCCCTGGGCCTCCAGCGAGGCACTGTGGTCAGACGTGAAGTAGACGAGGGTACGGCGCCCCAGCCCCGCGCCGTCCAGCGCTGCCAGCAGTCGCCCTGCGGGGGGGGAAATGGGTCCGTGCCTCAGTTTACCCCCAGCATCCACCATGCCTCGGTTTGCCCCCAACATGCACCGTGCCTCAGTTTACCCAACATGCATTGTGACTCAGTTTACAAATTTCCACCGTGCTTCAGTTTATCCCCAATGCCCAGTGACTCAGTTTACCAAACAGGCACCGTGCCTCAGTTTACCCCCAACGCTCACCGGGCCTCAGTTTACCCAAATGCACCGTGCCTCAGTTTACCCCCAACATGCACTGTGCCTCAGTTTAACCCCAACATGCACTGTGCCTCAGTTTACCCAAATGCACTTTGCCTCAGTTTACCCAAGTGCACCGTGCCTCAGTTTACCCCTATATTTGGGCCTCAGTTTACCCAAGTGCACCGTGCCTAAGTTTACCCAAATGCACCGTGCCTCAGTTTACCCCAACCCGCTGACCCGTCCCCGTGCCTCAGTTTACCCCCATCCCGGTGCCTCAGTTTACTCAACCCACTCACCTCGTCCCCGTGCCTCAGTTTACCCAACATGCACCATGCCTCAGTTTACCCAACATGCCTAGTGACTCAGTTTACCCAACATGCACCGTGCCTCAGTTTGCCCAACATGCCCAGTGACTCAGTTTACCCAAATACACCGTGCCTCAGTTTACCCCAATACCCAGTGACTCAGTTTACACAACATGCACCGTCCCTCAGTTTACCCCTATACGTGGGCCTCAGTTTACCCACATCCACCGTACCTCAGTTTACCCAAATGCACCTTGCCTCAGTTCACCCTGAACATGCACCGAGGTTCAGTTTACCCAACATGCACCGTGCCTCAGTTTACCCAAGTGCACCTTGCCTCAGTTTACCCCCAACATGCCCAGTGACTCAGTTTACCCAAATGCACCGTGCCTCAGTTTACCCAAACCCCATGTCTCAGTTTATCCCCAACACACTGACCCTGTCCCCGTGCCTCAGTTTACCCAAATGCACCGTGCCTCAGTTTACCCAAGTGCACCGTGCCTCAGTTTACCCCAATCCATTGACCCCCGTTCCCATGCCTCAGTTTCCCCCATCCCGCTCACCCCATCTCTGTGCCTCAGTTTCCCCCAAACCACTCACCCCACCCCCGTGCCTCAGTTTCCCTATCCCGCTCACCCCGTCCCCGTGCCTCAGTCTCCCTATCCCGCTCACCCCACCCCCGTGCCTCAGTTTCCCCCATCCCAAGCACCGTGCCTCTGTTCCTGCCACCCCGCACTCACCCACCATCCAGTCGAGCTCCTCCACGTTGTCGCCGTAAGCGCCGTGCGCGCTGCCGCCCCGGAAGGCAGGTGAGGTGACCAGCGGGACGTGGATGTGGAAGAAGGAGACGAGAAGGAGGAAGGGGCTGGCCTGGTGCCTGCGGACCCACGTCAGACCCCGCCCCCCTCATCAATAACCTCACCAATAACCGACCGGATCAGGTATTGCCAATAATCGATCAGATGATCGATAATTGATCCTGATCTGATCAGATATTACCAATAATCGATTCTGATGTGATCGATAATACCAATAATCAATAGTGATCTGATCAAAAATACCAATAATCGATCGTGATCCGATCAGTTGTTACCAATAATCGAACAGATCTGATCAGTTATTACCAATAATCAAACATCTGATCGATATGACCAATAATAGAACATGAGCTGATCAGATATTACTAATAATCGAACAGGATCTGATCAATAATACCAATATTCGATTGTGATGTGATCGATAATACCAATAATTGAACATGAGCTAATCAGTTAGTACCAATAATCGAACATCATCTGATCAGTTATTACCAATAATCGATCATGATCTGATCAATACTACCAATAATCGATCATGGTCTGATCTGAGGTCTACCAGATGTCTCTACAGATCTACTAGATGGAACATCCGGGGACCTGAGGTCTACCAGATGTCTATAGAGATCTACTGGATGTACATCCGGGGATCTGAGGTCTACCAGAGGATTTGAGGTTGACAGTTGACTATAGAGATCTACTGGATATACATCTGGGCACCTGAGGTCTACCAGTTGACTATAGAGATCTAGTAGATGTACATCTGGGGATCTGAGGTCTACCAGATGTCTATAGAGATCTACTGATGGAACATCCGGGGATTTGAAATTGACCAGTTGACTATAGAGATCTACTGGATGTACATCCGGGGATCTGAGGTCTACCAGATGCCTATAGAGATCTCCTAGTGGAACATTCGGGGATTTGAGGTTGACAGTTGACTATAGAGATCTACTGGATGTACATCCGGGGATCTAAGGTCTACCAGTTGACTATAGAGATCTAGTAGATGGCATCTGTCCCCCTCCCCGACGCCAGGCTGACCTGTGCATGAAGGCCTCAGCCTCCCGCAAGAAGAGCCCCGCGCTGGCCTCAAACCTCAGAGGCTGCTGGATGACCTGGTGATCCCTCATCAGGAAGCAGTCGGCATGGACGATGAAGACACCCAGGAGGCGGGAGGTGCAGGCCAGGAGCAAGGCCCCACATACAGGGCCCAGCACCCAGGGCACCCAGCGCAGGCCCAGCAGGCCCGTGAGCTTCCCAGAGTCCAGGCAGAGCCGGGAAAGCAGCAGCAGCTGCGCCCCCAGGTCCAGGGGCCCTTGCAGACGCGCTCGCTTCTCCGAGGGCTCCGCTTGCAAGCAGTCCCCCATCAGGGTGAAGAGGACCCCGAAGAAGGAGTCAAACCCGTGGTTCAGGGGGTGGTGGCAGTGGTCAGTGGGGGACTCACAGTTGAGGCCCAGGTGCCATTTGCCTGGAGGGGAAGAGACGGATGGACGAGTGAATGGATAGGTGGATGGGTGCATGGATGGGTGGATGGATGGGTGGGTGGATGGTTGGGTGGGTGGATGGATGGATGGATGGATGGATGGATGGATGGGTGGGTGGATGGATGGATGGATGAATAGGGGAATGGGTGGATGGATGGATGGATGGATGCACAGTGGATGGATGGATGGGTGGATGGGTGGATGGATGGATGGATGGGTGGGTGGGTGGATGGATGGATGGGTGGATGGATGAGTGGATGGGTGGATGGGTGGATGGGTGGATGGATGGATGGGTGGGTGGGTGGATGGATGGATGGATGGATGGATGGGTGGATGGATGGGTGGATGGGTGGATGGATAGATGGATGGGTGGATGGATGGGGGATGGGTGGATGGATGGATTGGTGGATGGATGACTTCTCTCTTACCTATGAGGCCGGTGGCGTATCCCTGCTCCTGCAGGATCTTGGCGAAGGTGATCTCGGAGGTGGGCAGCCCGCCCGACACGGCTGCCCACTGCAGCACGCGCGCCCCGTTGGTGGTCACCATGCCTTTCAAGAGAGAGGAGAAGGACCCTAGGTCAGTGATGATGGCGTCCCGGGTCAGGAGGGGGCATCTAACACCTTCAGGGGGAAGGCCTGCTGTGTCTGGGATAGCCTGGGACCTGCCCACCCGGGTGGAAAGGACCCCAGCCCTGGGAGCCCCCGGGGGAAACCAATATGGCATCACTTCCGGTTTCCTGGCGTTTCAGGGGGGAAGTCCCAGAGTCTCAGGAATTTGAACCTGAGATCCTCAGAGTAATCCTCCCCTCCCTCTAGTGGACCTCAGTGCCCTAGATGTTGAGCCTCAGTTCCCTGGTTGTTGGACCTCAGGTCCCCGGATGTTTGATGTTAGTATCCCGGATGTTGGCCCTCAGATCCCCGGATGATGGAGTTCAGTGCCCTGTATGGTGGATATCAGGACCCCAGATGTTGGACTTCAGTTACCCGGATGTTGTAGCTCAGTTCCCTGGATGTTGGGTCTTACAACCCCGGATATTGGAGCTTAGATTCGGGTATGTTGGCCCTCAGATCCCCAGATGTTGGAGCTCTGTTCCCCGGATGTTGGGGCTCAGGTTCCCGGATGTTGGATCTTAGTACCCCGGATGGTGGATGTCAGGTCCTCGGATCTTGGAGTTCAGTTCCCAGAATGTTAGGCCTCAGATCCCCGGATGTTGGATATTAGTACAATGGATGTTAGAGATAAGGTCCCCGGATATTAGAGTTCAGTGCCCCGGATGTTTGTGCTCAGATCCCCGGATGTTGGATCTTAGTAACCCGGATGTCAGAGATGAAGTCCCTGGATGTTAGAGCTCAGTGCCCCGGATGTTGGTGCTCAGTTCCCCGGATGTTGGGCTTTAGATCCCCGTATGTTGGGTCTCAGATCCCCAGATGTTGAATATCAGGTCCACGGATGTTGGATCTTAGTATCCCAGATGTTGGCTCTCAGATCCCCGGATGTCCTGCCCCCACCTCCCCCCCACCGCTCCCTCCGTTCCCCAGATGTCCCACCCCCCCAATACCAACCCAGGCGCACAGGGTAGCGTCCCGTCAGGAAGGCCGCACGGCTCAGGCTGCAGACGGACGCTGCCGCCAGGTGCTGGGTCAGCCGCACGCCGTCCCGGGCCAGGCCGTCCAGGTGCGGGGTGCTGTGGGGGGAGAGGGAAACTGAGTCACAGCCAAGAACATATGGGGACCTGGGGTCTAACATCCGGGGATCTAATGCCCAACATCCCAGGAGCTGAACTCCAACATCCGGGGCCCTGAGATCCCACATCCGGGGATCTAAGATCCAACATCCGGGGACCTGAGATCCCACATCTGGGATACTAAGATCCAACCTCTGGGGCCCTGAGGTCCAACATCCGGGGATCTAAGATCCAACATCTGGGGCCCTGAGATCCCACATCCAGGGTACTAAGATTCTTTATCTGTGGACTGGGCTCCTACATCTGGGGATCTAAGGCCCAACATCCGGGGACCTGAGGGCCTACATCCGGGCAACTAAGATCCAACCTCTGGGACCTGAGCTCAAACATCCGGGTACCTGGTCTCCAACATCTGGGACACTAAGATCCAACATCCAGGGATCTGATATCCAACATCCGGGGACCTGATCTTCAACATCCAGGGAACTGAGATCTAACATCCTGGGAATTGAACTCCAACATCCGGGGACCTAACATCCAACATCCGGGGACCTGGGGTACACTAGATGTCTATACAGTTCTCCTGGTGGAACATCCGGGGAACTGAGCTCTAACATCCGGGGTACTAACATGTAACATCCGGGGACCTGATATCCAACATCCGGGGCAGTAAGATTCAACATCCGGGGACCTGATCTCCAACATCGGGGACCTGATCTCCAACATCCGGGGACCTGATCTCCAACATCCGGAGCACTAACATCTAACATCCGGGAACCTGATTTCCCACATCCGGGGCATTAAGATCTAACATCCGTGGACCTGTCCTCCAACATCCAGGGCACTAACATCCCACATCCGAGGATCTGATATCCAACATCCGGGGTACTAACATCTAACATCCGGGGACCTGATATCCAACATCCAGGACACTAAGATCTAACATCCAGGCACCTGGGCTCCTACATCCGGAGGAATAAGATCCAACATCCGGGGCACTGAGCTACAACATCCAGGGTACTAATATCTAACATCCGGGGACCTGAGCTCCCACATTCGGGGCACTAACCTCCAACATCTGGGGACCTGAGCTCCTACATCCGGGGCACTGAAGTCCAATATCTGGGGACATGATCTCCCACATCCGGGGTACTAAGATTTAACATCCAGGGACCTGATATCCAACATCCGGGGCACTAACATCCAACATCCAGGGAACTGAAGTCCAACATCCAGGAACCTGATTTCCCACATCCGGGGTATTAAGATTTAACATCCGGGGACCTGATATCCAACATCCGGGGACCTGGTCTTCAAATCCGGGGTACTAAACATGTAACATCCGGGGACCTGATATCCAACATCCGGGGCACTAAGATCCAACATCCCGGGATTTGGTATCCAACATCCACGATACTAACATCCAACATCCGAGGAACTGAGTTACTAGATGTCTATACACTTCTCCTGGTGGAACATCCAGGGATCTGAGCTCCCACATCCGGGTAACTAAGGCCCTACATCCGGGCCTCCCCCTCTGCTCACCGCAGGCTGCGGTTCCCGAAGCTGCCCAGGTCGCCCAGGCCCAGGTCGTCGGCCAAGAGCAGCAGGAAGTTGGGGCGCGAGGGGGCAGGGCCTGCGCAGGGGCCAGGGGGGAGGAGGAGGGGGAGAAGGAGGAAGACGAGGGGTGGGGCTGTGCAGCTGCTGTGCGACCTGAGGAGGAGAGAGAGGATGGGTGGATGGATGGGTGGATGGATGGATGGATGGATAGGTGGATGGGTGGATGGATGGATGGATGGGTGAATGGATGGGTGGATGGATGGATGGTTGGATGGATGAGTGGATGGGTGGATGGGTGGATGGGTGGATGGATGGATGGGTGGGTGGGTGGATGGATGGATGGATGGATGGATGGGTGGATGGATGGGTGGATGGTTGGATGGATGGATGGGTGGATGGATGGATGGGTGGGTGGGTGGATGGATGGATGGATGGGTGGATGGATGGGTGGGTGGGTGTATGGATGGATGGATGGGTGGATGGATGGGTGGGTGGATGGATGAATGGATGGATGGGTGGATGGATGGATGGGTGGGTGGGTGGATGGATGGATGGATGGGTGGATGGATGGGTGGGTGGGTGTATGGATGGATGGATGGGTGGATGGATGGGTGGGTGGATGGATGAATGGATGGATGGGTGGATGGATGGATGGGTGGGTGGATGGATGGATGGATGGATGTATAGGTGGATGGGTGGATGGGTGGATAGATGGATGGGTGGATGGATGGATGGGTGGATGAATAGGTGGATGGGTGGACGGATGGATGGGTGGAGGGATGGGTGGATGGATGGATGGGTGGATGGGAGGAGGGATGGGAGGACTCCCCCTCCCTCCAGGCCCTCTCCTGACCAGCATGGCGCCCAGGATCGCGTCCTTCCCATGATGCTCCCCGTTTCCTGGAAGAGAAGGCCGGAAGCAGGAAGTGGGGAAGAGCTGAGGAACATCCGGCCACCCCAGGGCCAGGCTGCTGTTGCCCCCACCAGTACATCAGCCCCTCACCTTGTCTTTCCAGGCTTGTGGCGGGGCCCTGAAGCCCCCACCCCGGGGCATGGTGGGACATCCGGGGGGGGCTCCAAAAAGCAATCGAAGCCCCCCAAACCCGGGTCCCCACACCTCTCCCCGTGTTCCCCAGAGGACGAACTCACATCCACAGTTCTCTGCCATCAGCGCCTGGGCCTGTTGCTCTCCCTGCCAGCCAGGAAGCTTGCAGGGCTCAAATGTCCACGTCACTCCAGGAGCCAGAACTCCACAAACCCCCTCCAAAATAAAAGTCCCCTTGTTCCTTGGAAAGGAACAGGATGTGGTGCTGAAGGGGTAGGCAGGGAAGGAAGGGAAAAGCCCGGAGTTGCTGGGCTGGGAGCCAAGAAATTGCCAGGCCTGGCAGAGGCAGGAGGAAGGGGAGGAGGGAAACCTCGAGAACTACATGGAGGGCTGCAATAAGAGTCAGGACCGTCAGGGAGCGTGGCCTGTGCCCAGGGGGCGTGGCCTGTGCTCAGTAGGGCGTGGCCAGAGTTCAGGAGGGCGTGGCCTGGGCTGGGGAGGAAGTGAGGGACTCAGGAGGGCTTTGGCCTGCGCTGGGGGGCGGAAGTGAGGAAGAATTCCATCCAGAAGCAGCATGGCTGCTTTATTGCCTCCGAGTCTGGGAAAGGACCCCAACGGCCAAAGCGCAGCTGGAGCCAAGGTGTGGAGTGCCCGCTCTGCCACATCCGGGTTCCACCTCTCACATCTGGGTCTCAACCCCTCACATCTGGTTCCCAACCCTCACATCCGGGTCCAAACCCCTCACATCCGGGTCCTGGTGCCTGCCAGTGGACCTGGAGTTAAGTGACATCCTGGTACTCGCCTCCACATCTGGGTTCCCGGACCTGGAGATCCCTAACATCCGGGTACCCACCCCACATACGGGTTCACAGACCTGGAGGTCCCTAACATCTGGGTACTCACCCCACATCCAGGTTCATGGACCTGGAGGTCCCTAACATCTGGGTACTCACCCCACATCCAGGTTCATGGACCTGGAGGACCCTAACATCCGAGTACCCAGCCCACATCCGGGTTCACTGACCTGGAGGTCCCTAACATCTGGGTACTCACCCCACATCCAGGTTCATGGACCTGGAGGTCCCTAACATCCGAGTACCCAGCCCACATCCGGGTTCACGGACCTGGAGGTCCCTAACATCCAGGTAGTTCCCATTCCACATCTTGGTCCTGGACCCTCAGTGGATGTGGAGGGACCTGACATCTGGGATCCTCACGCCACATCTGGGTCCTAGACCCTGTCAGTGGAAGGAGAGGAGCGTGACATCCGAGACTCCACACGCCACAGCCAGGCCTGTGGATGTGATATCCGGGTCCTGCCCAGCACATGTCTAGGTCCCTGCCACAGTCCACATCTGGGTTAATGGACATGGACTTACATAACATCCGGTTACCCACGCAACATCCGGGTCCTGGCCCCTCAGTGGACCTGGAGATAGGTGATATCCGGGTCCCCCAGTCCACATCTGGGTCCTGGCCCCTCAGTGGACCTGGAGATAAGTGACATCTGGGTCCCTGACGCCACATCCAGGTGAGTGGACACGGAGGAGGGTGACATCCGGGTCCCCCAGTCCACATCCGGGTCCTGGCCCTTCAGTGGACCTGGAGATAAGTGACATCCGGGTTCCCCAGGCCATATCTGGGTCAGTGGACACGAATGAGGGTGACATATGGGTCCCTCCCAGTCCACATCCGTGTACTGGCACTTCAGTGGACATGAAGGAAGGTGACATCCGGGTCCCTCCTAGTCCACATCTGGGTCCTGACCCATCAGTGCATCTGGCGGAAAGTGACATCCGGTTCCTCCATGCCACATCTGGGTCAGTGGACATGGAAGAAAGTGACATCCGGGTCCCTTCTAGTCCACATCCGGGTCCTGGACCCTCAGTGGACCGGGAGATAGGTGACATCCGGGTTTCTCCCAGTCCACATCCGGGTCCTGGCCCCTCAGTGGACCCAGAGATAGGTGACATCTGGGTCTTTCCCAGTCCACATCCGGGTCCTAGCCTCTCCGTGGCCTCTGGTCGGACCGCAGCTTCTGTACAGCACACGCAGGTTTGGAGTCCCACATCCCGGCATCTTCCGGCTGGGGCCCAGGAGTCTTGCTGGAGCCGGACATCCGGGTCTCACGCGCTTTCCCTGCAACCGAACCCAGCGGCCAAAAGGCAGGAATGAAGCCCCACATCCGGGTCTTCTCGGTCTGTTGCCTGGCAACCGAAGGCACAGGCCTAGACGCTGTGGTGGAGCCCAACGTCCTGGTATCTTCACTTGGTTGCCCGGCAACCGAACGCCGCGGCCTAGTGGCGGGAATGAAGCCCCACATCCGGGTCTCCTCAGTCCGTTGCCCTGCCATGGCACCCAGCGGCCTAGTGGCGGGAATGAAGCTGAACATCCGGGTCTCCGGCACACGGGGGTCGTGTCCGGGCGGCGCCCTGGGGTGGGCGTGGCAGACGTAGGCGGCACGCACCTCCAGGCTGCCGTCGGTGCCCAATGTGAAGCGGCCATGACTCGGCGGCCCATGCAGCACCAGCCCGCCGGGCAGGCGCCAGGACACCGGAAGCGTGGAGGTGGGGCAGCGCAGCCGGAAGCTGCCGCCTAGCGCCACACGCAGCGCTGCCCCCGACACTGCCCCAGGGGGAGGAGTCAGCGCCCAAGATAGCGGGGCAGGCGCATGATGGGGTGGAGCTGGCGCAACAGGGGCGGAGTCAATGCCTCAGAGGGCACAGTCAGCGCCCAAGATGGCGGCGCAGGCGGGCCAGGGGGTGGAGCTGCCTCAGAGGGCGGAGCCAGCGCACCAGGGGGCGGAGCCAGTGCCCAAGATGGCAGGGCAGGAGTGTGACTGGGCGGAGCTGGCGCACCAGGGGGCGGAGTCAATGCCTCAGTGGGCGGAGCCGACGCCACAGGGGGCAGAGCCCGTTCCCACCATGGCGGCAGCCACACCCACATCTGGGCTTCACCCGCCGGGTTGCACGCCACACATGCCACGGCGTAGCTGCCACCGCTGCGCAGCGCAAGCACATCCGGGATTTCCAACGTCCCACGCGCATCCACGCTGATCCCTACCCCCATGCGACTGCGATACGGGACTGGAAGTACCAGCCCGCCCGGAAGTTCCCACAGCAGGCGGGGCTCGGGGACGCCATCCGCCTGGCAGCGCACGCGCAGACGCACCACGGGGGAGACCCGGATGTCGTCGTTCACGTCGTCATGGACATCAGGCATGACCCGGATGTGCAGCGCCCACAGCTGCACATGTAGGCGCACGGTGGCGCGCCAGCCCCGCTCCGCCATGCACGTGCACGTGCCTGCGTCGGCCCGCCGTGCCCCCCGCAGGCGAAGACGCCCGTCCGGCAGCACCCGGAAGTGGGCGTCCTCCGGGCCAGGTCACTGCGCGCGACCCCTGGGTCACGGGGGCATGTGAAGGTCACGGGGGTGCTGTAGGGGACGGAGAGCTCGGGGGGTAGTGGGGCGGAAGCGGAAGTGGGAGATGAAGAGGAAGCAGGAAGTGAAGCAGGAAGTGAAGGGGAAGCCGGAAGTGAAGCAGGAAGCGAAGGGGAAGCAGGAAGTGAAGAGGAACCAGGAAGTGAAGAGGAAGAGGAAATAGGAAATGAAGAGGAAGAAGGAAGAGACTGAGAGGAAGAGGAAGAAGAGGAAGAAGGAAAGGAAGAGGAAGAAGAGGAAACATGAGAGGAAGCAGGAAGAGATGGAGAAGAGGAAGAAGGAAAAGAAGAGGAAGCAGGAAAAGAATGTGAAGAAGAGGAAGAAGGAAGAGACTGAGAAGAGGAAGAGGAAGGAAAGGAAGAAGAGGAAGAAGGAAGAGACTGAGAAGAGGAAGAGGAAGGAAAGGAAGAAGAGGAAGAAGGAAGAGACTGAGAAGAGGAAGAGGAAGGAAAGGAAGAAGAGGAAGAAGGAAGAGACTGAGAAGAGGAAGAGGAAGGAAAGGAAGAAGAGGAAGAGGAAGGAAAGGAAGAAGAGGAAGAAGGAAGAGATTGAGAGGAAGAGAACAGGAAAGGATGAGAGGAAGAGGAAGAAGGAAAGGAAGAGGAAGAAGGAAAAGAAGTAGAGGAGGAAGCAGAGGAAGAGGAAGAAGATGAAGGATGGTGAGAGGAAGAGGAAGGAAGAGATGGAGAGGAAGAAGGAAAGGAAGAGGAAACAGGAAAGGAAGAGGAAGAGGGAAAGGAAGAGGAAGAAGAAGTTGAATGATATTGAGAGGAAGAGGAAGAAGAAGGAAGTGATTGAGAGAAGAGGAAGAAGGAAAGGAAGAGGAAACAGGAAATGAAGAGGAAGAGGAAGAAGGAAGTGACTGAGAGGAAGAGGAAGAACCCGCCCCAGGCTCCGCCCCCCCACCCGTGGTCACACATCCGAGGTCTAAACCAGGCCCCAGGTCCCAGATCCCCACACTCCCATCAGGCCTCGCGACCCGAACATCCAGATCTCCCAGGACACCGGATGGGACGTGGAGGCAGTGGTGGGCAGCACAGTCCTCCCTGGGATCGGCATCCTGGGTCACGGGGGTCACGGGGGTCACGGGAAGCCGGGGTTGCAGATAGGAGGCGCCTGGCCCAGCCGCCAACTCCACGCGCAGCCGTGCATGCGCGTTGCCCGCCGCGTTGCGCGCCACACACACGTACTCCCCCGCATCGCGTGACGTCACCGGACGCACGGAGAGCGTGCCATTGGGAAAGGCGTGGACCCGGGTGTCAGAGCTGGGGAGGGGAGAGGGAGGGAGGGCAGGAAGGAAGGAAGGAGTGAAGGAAGGAGGGAAGGATGAAGGAAGGATTGGAGGGAAGGAAGGAGAGAATGTAGGGAAGGAAGGAGGGAAGGAAGGATTGGAGGGAAGGATTGGAAGGAAGGATTGGAGGGTAGGAAGGATGGAAGAATCGGAGGGAAGGAAGGAAGGATTGGAGGGAAGGAAGGAAGGATTGGAGGGAAGGAAAGATGGAAGGATTGGAGGGAAGTAAGGAAGGATTGGAGGGAAGGAAGGATGGAAGGATTGGAGGGAAGGAAGGAAGGAAGGATTGGAGGGAGGGAAGGAAGGATTGGAGGGAAGGAAGGATTGGAGGGAGGGAAGGAAGGATTGAATGGAAGGAAAGATGGAAGGATTGGAGGGAAGTAAGGAAGGA